CGATTATTGTTTTCTTGTTTGCGATGCTCTCCGCGACCGCCGCCGCCTTCTTCATTCGTCGTTCTTGATTTCTCTGGCGTCGTCGAACCCTAACGTTCAGGTTGCGTCGTTTGGTGCGGTTGTGAGTTTGGTTCAGTTGTTCTCTGATCCTTCACTGTTCCATGAGCTCTTACGCTCGATGATGGCTGGCGTGTTCACACTATTGCACGGTTTCGAAGGTACCTATTTTCGAATCGCGTTCGTTGAGTTGATAAATCTGGTGTCTCAAGAGCCTCTTCTGTTGAAGCCTTACGTGAGTGACATGGTTCTCGAATGGCTTCAGATCGCGGAGAGTGAGGGTTTGACCAATGAAACGCATCGTTTGGCGTTTGAGTTGGTTATGGCCATGACTGAGGTAAAAGAGTACGGTGAACACGTGTTGCTGAACCTTCCTTCTCAAACTGTGGTTAGGTTGTTCCTCGTTTCTATGAAAATGCTTCTGTGTATTGAAGAGGATGGTGGTGTTGGTGACCATGACCATGACCATGACTTTGGAATAAAGTGTTTGAAACAACTTTGTGTTACACTTGGAGGGAGTAAAGTATTGGCAATTGCTTCAGAACTGTTGCCTCTTTACTTGGATTCCAAGGAATGGAAGAAGCGCCATGCTGGAATTACACTGCTTACGGTGATCTCAAAAGAGTTCTCTGATGAAATGGTGACCTCATCATCTTAACAACTCTCTTTGCTTTGCTTTCATATATATTAATAACTTTTTTACTTAATTGCTGGTGAGGTTTACTACTTTCTCACACTGTCTAACCTTTGTTTATTAATTACATTTTTGGCAGGTATTGATGGAAAATTTTCTTGGGGAAGTGCTGACCAAAGTTTTGAATTCATTCCAAGACTCTCATGCTCAAGTTAGGTTGGCAGCTTTTAATTTTATGGAGACGCCTACAAACTTTGTCCATGTGGCGCAAACCCTTTATCATCCTAGGCTTCTAAATGCTTTTTCTTTTGCACTTGACAATGATCAGGACTATAAAGTGAAGGTATTGTAGATATATAGATGTGAAATTGAATTTGAATTTACTTGCATCATGTTAAAGATGATTATTATGATCTACAAACTTCCATAACCAATAGATAGTTGCTTCATTTCCCTGAAACATAAATACAGGAGAAACAACTATGAAGTACATATAAACTCACTTTGCTAGTAGTCTAGGGGATTAATTCAGTTTTAGATTATTCACTTCATCCATTGCTTCATTTGAATGAATTTTGCTGCTAGTTTTTTGGTATGCCACTCATGACTATATAAACAAAGGTATAATCCCTGGTGTAAAGTTAAATGGTACCTCCTCTTATTATGATCAAGATACATACCTCCTCTCAATCTCATGTTGAAATTTTTTAGCAATTTATCTTTTGATAGTTTTTCTTTGAAATGAACACTTGGGGTGGGATCGTTGGCAATGCTTGGAAGAATGAACAGTGTCTAGATATTTTTTACTCATCCTTCCATGCTTTATATTTTCACTATCACCGAGCAAGTCATTATTGTTATTATCATCAGCATGTGTGTCTTCTTTATCTTATTTTTCAAACATGTATTATAAGTTAATAATCTTGTGTTTCTTTTATAGGAAAAAGCTGCCTCAGCAATGCTATTCTTTCTAAGGAACACTCTTCCACAGAGCTTAACTATGTTCAAAGACGTGGACACCAAAATGGGCAAATTGTTGTCATTGCTTCAGGTAAAAATTACAATCTTTTTTTATGCAGGAATTCAGTGTCTGTGGAAAAGTTCCCGGATAATATTTATTACTACCAATAAAGTAGGAATTATCTTTCTTACATTTTCCTTTAGAAATTTTCATCAAGGCTCATAATATTCTAGTTTCCACCATTGTGATATGCTTATTTGATGTTTTTCAGCCATCTGCTTGCAAAGAAGTGTTAAGCAAAGAAGAATTGCTTTGTCAACTTTCAACTTAGTTGCACAGCGGTGTCATGAAGTAGCTCACAAGTAGTCTTGGCGAGAGGATTTTGTTATTAGTAAATCACAATTATTTAGTTGTATTCACATGCCCTAGTTTGCATCATGGTGCCATTTTCTTCTTTTTTGTCACCTTTTCCTACACCTCTTAACGTGCACATCTAGACAGACTAGAGGGAAATCATCTGTGTTTGCCCTCAGCAGTTTTTTAATTAAATATCTTTACCCACTTACCGAAACTGCGACTTATATCACACGTTTTAATTGCTATTGGAAAAGCAGCACCCCTCATTATGTAATATATACACAATTATACATTATATATTGCTGCCACGTCCCACGAGATAATAACTATTTAAATGTCATGGTCTAAGTATCTACATAGCAGGGATTTATATGGCAATGCCTAATTAATGTCTCTTCAAAGTGATCCAAAGATATATAACTACCCTTGTACTGAATTATGGAACGCTTTAAACGCAACAACCAATTCCAACCTATAGGAATACCCAAGTAGGTATTTCCTTTTTCCAAACGTGGAAAAAATTTAAAGGTGGCCAGAAAAAAAATTTCAAAAATGAAAATAAAAATTTTTATATTTGAAAAAAAGGAGTACCCACCACCGTATCACTATGTATAGTTTTGTTCCCTTGTTATAAGGTTGCTCCCGGTCTGTGTCAGTCATGGCTGACATGCACAAGATCAAATAGCTGTCTCTCCGTGAATTGTGTGGGTCACCTTTTTTTCTCATCTGCTATACCTAATTTCCAATATTTCTTATTAGGATAAGTAGATGAAATGAAATCTAAAGGGTCCTTGCTTGCCATAAATTTATTATGGGGTCAAAGTTTAGCAAGGAAATTATTTGGTATTGGGAATTGGTCTATTATATATACGAAACCCTCAAACCCCTAATGATGAGTTATCTAAAACAGGTTATAGGCATCGAATGAACTTACATGTTAACATTTGTATTTACAGCCCTTAAAAAGATAATATTAAGTGATATATTTGGATAATTGTTTCTTATGTTGTAAGAGATAATTTTATCTTCTATATACATAAAAGTGTATGAGGTCCAGGTGAAGAGAAGTGAAAGAAAAAGATAAAATAAACCTCACATATTATATATATATATATATATATATATATATATATATATATATATATATATATATATATATATGAGATAAAATTATCTCTTACAATATTAAAAACATTAATCTCATAAATAAAATGATATATGATGAATGTTTAGACTAGATTACTTAACTAATATTGATGATGCATAACATATATTTAATTGATGGGTTTTATAATTCTCATTTAACATGATAATTTGAATTTTCCTACACACCCTTCGATTTCTGTGTCAACGTGGGTCCTACACATAATTTTTTCTTACATACGGGTCCCACATGTTTTTTGTCTCTACAACATGAGAATTCAATTCTCATGTTGAATGAGAAATATAAAACCCTTAATTGATATAATTAATAATTGTCTTTTCATTCTCTATTGTGAAAATTATTGAAAATGTTAGGATTCTAATTTCTGTAATTATGTCACGTCAAACGGCCTGGAATAAAAGTTAAAGAAAATAAGGTTATTTTGTAATATCAATTATCTATTGGATCAAAATCATTTTAGACAGTTACATTTCCAATCTTGCATCGTCGATCATATTTATATCTAACGATTCTGATTTATTATATATGTAAGTCATATATACAAAGCAAATCAATGGCTAAATTAAAATTAGGTATAATTTTTTTTATTCTAGTATAAGAATACCTGCCTTAAGCTATTTAATAAGAGTAATTTTGTTAATACGAATATATGATAGTCCATGACTATTTCATCAAACCCTTTTATTTTTATTGAATAGAGTGATATTCCAAACCAAATGTAACCATACTCCACTTGAATTGACTCCAACACTTGTTTCTACTTTCTGGGATTCTAGCATGATCCATTATCAAATGGGCTAAAGGAACAACCTACAAAGGATATGACGTGGCAAGATTACTTGCTCTCTCTTTTTTTGGTAATAAATAAAAATTCTTTAGTTATAATAAATGTTAAATAAAATATTTTTATTATGTGGAATGCTTTTATCTTTCATTTTATTTTATTAATTTTTTCAAATTAATCAAAAAAGAGATCGATCTTAACACTTGTTTTTTTTTTTAATAAAAAGTTGCATGTTTCTGATTTTTGTTTTTTTTAACATTATCCTCCGGTAATCTTATAGGTTCCCAACTAATTTGGAGTTCAAGACGGATTTAGAATTAGGATTTTAATCCCCTTTCAAAAATAATATTAAAAAAAATCTAACACATATTTGTATCCTCACTTGTTCAACTTTCACACGTCAATTATTGCATGCTTTTGATTTTGTTTGAACGAGCCCACTTTTGTCTAAATATTAGTAATAAAAACTAGTTTTTGGGACTTCTACCTACAGATCAGGATAATTGATTCTTGCCTCATCTATGACCAACAGTTTTATCAACGTAGGGGTATTAATTTGTCTCCAGCAACCTTATTTGAATCAATACAATACACTTATTTATTTAAATACGGGTATTAATTTGTCTCCAGGCTCCAGCAACCTTATTTGAATCAATACAATACACTTATTTATTTTCTCTCCATGTGCCGGGCGCAACGTCGTTTAACTTCTTGTTCTTTTTGTTAATATATACAGTAGCTTGTAATTAATTCAGTTAGTTAGAAGTCTGTTAGTTAGATGTTAGTTATTTCTGTTATTTACAGTTAAAGAGTCTTTGCTTCCGTGCTTTAGTTTGATTGCTGTTGTATATATATCAGCAATGTAACCTTGAGAATTCATTCAATACATTCAATCTTTTTCATCTTTTATCTAGTTTTCAATATGGTATCAGAGCTCATCTAGAGCTCTGGTATTCACCCTCTCTTGTTCCCAATTCTTCTCAAAAGATTTTCCTTCTTCTTCCTTTCGAAATTTTCTGTTTTCTTTTCATCAATCAAGAAAATGGAAGATGCAGCATCAGCACCAACTCAAAGAGCAGTACCAAACCAGAATACAACACCAGCACCAGAATCCAATCCCTATTACCTACATCCCAATGAAAGCTCATCGCTGGTCTTAGTATCTCCTTCAATGAATGGAAAGAACTTCCACACATGGCAAAGATCAATGCGTATGGCACTCCTATCCAAGAACAAGCTTGGTTTTGTTAATGGAACAATCAAGAAACTAGATGATGACAGTCCTCTATTTGGTTCATGGGAAAGGTGTAACACTATGATAATTTCTTGGCTCAATCGATCCATCTCAGAATCCATTGCACAATCAGTGCTTTGGATGGAGAAAGCAGATGATATATGGAACAACTTGAAAGACAGGTTTGCTCAAACTGATATGTTTAGAATTTCTGATCTTCAAGATGAAATTTTCAAATTGCAGCAAGGAGACAAATGTGTTTCAGATTACTTCACCCAATTAAAGATTTTATGGGATGAATTAGAAAGCTTACAGCCAATTTTACCATCTTGCGCATGTGGAGCAGCAACACAAGTAAAGGATACTCGTGAAAGGGACTATGTAATAAGATTCTTGAAAGGGTTAAATGACCAATTTGAACATGTGAGAGCTCAAGTAATGCTATTAGACCCTCTTCCATGTGTTAACAAAGTATTCTCATTGATTCTTCAGCAAGAAAGGCGCCTGAAAATAGGAGTCCAAGATTCACAATCTTTCATCAATATTGCTGATCATCCAAATTTCAATCAGAACTTCAACCAAGGTTTCAATCAAGGAAGAGGCCAAGGTTTTAATCAAGGAAGAGGCCAAGGTTTCAATCAAGGAAGAGGTCGTGGAAATAAGTTTTGCACATATTGCAAGAGAACAAACCATACCATCGAGACATGCTATCTCAAGCATGGATTTCCACCAGGATACCAAACCAGAAGACCATATGCTGCTGCTGCTGCTACAAACTTTGTTTCACTAGAATTTGATGATAGTGTACACAATACTGATCCAGAACCTGAACCAGAATCTCTGAATCTTGCCTTTTCAAAAGAACAACATCAAGAAATTCTGGAACTTCTACAAAGATCAAAGCTGCCTCACTCATCCAATATGATTCAAACCCACTCATCTGCTTTCAATATAGGTAACACAGTATCAGGTATAAAATCAAACCATTGGATTCTGGACACTGGAGCTACAGATCACATCACATATATTTTCTCTAATCTTTCATGTGTCCAATCCATAAATCCCATACACATCACACTTCCAAATGGCACTCAAATTACCACAACACAATCAGGCACAGCAAGAATTTCTGATTCTTTAGTTCTTAAAAATGTTCTCTATGTACCATCCTTTCGTGTCAATTTGATTTCAGTAACCAAACTTCTTCAAGACACCCAATCCTACATTCTTTTTCATGACTTAACTTGTTTCATCCAACAGATATCAACCAACCAGACGATTGGTTCAGCTAAACAATTAGATGGACTCTACATATTGAAGACACATGAAGGATCTGTAAAGAAAAGTTTCTGCAATAAAGTGAACTCCAATGATGCATTGATATGGCACCAAAGACTTGGTCATCCTTCTGAACCAGTCATGAAGACCATGTCCATCTACTTCCCTTTCATTTCATGTAATAAAATAGATCCCTGTGATATATGTCATTTCTCAAAACAAAGAAAATTACCTTACATTTCTAGTACAATCAAAACTACATTTCCTTTCCAATTAATACATACTGACATTTGGGGTCCCTTCTCCACAACTTCTTTACATGGCCATCGATATTTCTTAACAATTGTAGATGACTATACACGTTTTACATGGGCTATTCTTTTAAAGAACAAAGCTGAGGCACGAAACAATTTAAAACACTTTACTACCTATGTTGAAAATCAATTCAAAAAAAATGTGTACTATTTTAAAGGACATAAAATTATGTCATTTTAAGTAAAAAAAAAAAAGATAAATCATGGAAGAAAAAAAAATTTAAGCAAAATCGGAGAGAGATTAAAAAATCGTAAAATTTAAAATCGTAATGTAAAAAAATCATAAAAAATCATAAAAACGTAAAAACGTTTGAAATATTGATAAAATCGTTTTGATGAAAAAAAATCGTAAAAATGTAAAACCGTAGTGATAAATCGATTTTTTAACAACTATTGTCACACCTCTTTATAAAATAAAAGGACATAAGGTATGTCATTTAAAATGACACACATTTTTCTCTAGTTATATATATAGTTTTAAGAACAAAACAATAGTCGATGACAAAGATTTCTCTTAAATACTATTGGGAATTTAAGTGTGGTCAATCTGCATTTCAAAGGAATAAATTAAATATGATACATCAAATACCTTAATTTTAGGTTGAGATGTAATATCAAATCCCTATCATATTCTTTCTTTATTCAGTGCATTTCATATATTTAAATAAACTTGTTAATTATTTTAATTCACTCAAAGTGATCATCGTATATCTCATTCTTTTAATTCTTTAGCAGTTGTATTTTGTTTCTTTAATTCCCGTGGTTGACATATTAAGTTTACTTATGCATGCTAGTTAATGAAGCTCCTCTTCCTTTATCAATTCATAATAAATTAATGATGACAGGAGCAAAAATGTGTTGATATAAGATCAAAGGTTTACCTCTTGATGTTTCCTCTCCTTCGCAAGCTTTTTTCTAGCTCGCTTCTCCACACCAACCTTTCTTGGTATGTCAACTTGGCAATTCCTTCCAATCACCAATACACCCTATTCAAGAGTGTGAAACCCATCAATTTAACATGCATACAACATATTCAAAATTAGTACAAATCAAATTCACACCACAATTAAGGCATGAACTTACCAATCCAAATGAGCTACTAAAGCTCCAATGGCTTCCACCAATGGTTAGTCACTAGATGTCAGGTGCACTTGCTTCAAATCCTATCAAGACAATGGACGCCATTTTTAACACAAACCAATCTAAGACCATGACTCGACGAATGCAAGAAACTCCAATTTTCAACATAAATTTTCCAAGATATGGAACAAATAACCAAACGACTATCTAAGTTAGTTTACCGTTATTCATCATTCCTAACAACATTTGTAAAGGAACTTAGCTTCAATATAACTCAAACTTAT